CATAAGTTCCTGCCTTCATATTGCCCACCGTGCGACTGGTGACATGCTTTACAAGGCCCTTCTGTCCAGATGTGCTATCTGAATTAATGAACTTAATATGTACCACTGCTCATTTTGTAGTCTACTGCAAAACTTTAACAGTGATCTTATATCCTTTTCTGTCTGTTGTGTCTGTAAATCGGTACATTCAGCTTTCCCATTCTGTAAACTCAAGTATTCTATCTTCTTGTTGTTAGGGGTGTTGTTATTGCTAGTTAAAACAAATGTCAAAAATCCTCCCCAAATCCTGTTGCACAAGTAGCAAAATATGAACAAGATTTAAGAGAGATTTCATCTTTAGTTTGAACTCTCCTCAGAAGTAACCGCTAAGGAAAGTTAAAACATGCATTCTGAATTAATTGTATTCTTTTTGAAACTATTAATTTCTTAGCAAAAAAGTGAAGATTACGTCGTCGTCTTCACGTTTTTTCCATGTTTACTGTGATCAGGTTTGTCACGTAATTATCTAGTCTTAATGAGGCTATTGCTTTGGCATACTTCAATTTTCTTATATTCTTTTAAGTTGCTTTTTAGTTTAAGTCTTGTTATTTGGTACTACAATTGGGAACTGTAAATCATCTGCTGCTTAAAAAAGCGGTATCCACAACTAGTGGATTTAATCTCACTCCTGAATTGTGCAATACCCCGGTCAGGTTAGTGCTGTCAGCTTTGTAGCGGAGACCTAATGAGCAGTGAGTAAAGATGTAGGAAGAGACCGGTGCGATGAGGTGCAAAAGTGATTGGGACGTGAAATGGCAGGGAGACCTTTTTAGGTGAGAAGGAGTAAAGCTGCTGAGGTGGTGATAGGAAGATGTCAGCAGTGACATGGAGTAATAGAGGTGCCATGGGTGAGCTGTGGACTGCTGTTGATCCAATACTTTCCATGTCAGCTCAGACACTGACGTTCGTCCCACAAACTGACCGTTTTGAAAGGGCACATAAGTAAGGGTGTTGGGAGTTCCCTCTATGTCATTGGCACTGGCTGGCTCTTGTACAGCCCGCTGCTCAGATCTCAGTTTGGTGGCTACTTTAAATGCACCTCAGACCAAGCAGTACCTCAGGAGTGATTGCTCGTTGGACGTGCAAAGGGGGGATTCTCAACTCTGAGCTTCACTCTGCCTCTTCAAATGTCACAGCCATAGCTGCTGTGACTTAAGAGTGGTGTTTTAGTGGTGTTTAGAGTATTACAAATAGCTTTCAGCTATCTGATTTATTATCCCTGTGGATATTTGTTACACACTGTTAAGCTGTGCAGTGACCCAGACAGCTATCTGAAGCGGTCTAGTGGGATCTTTCTGGTTTTAAGCACGTGAGGACCAAGAGGAAGGTGCTTTGTTATTGTGCCTGTTGTGACATTGGTTACAAGGTTCCTTGTCTTTTCTCCTATATGCGGGTTAAAATGAAATTTAGCCAAGACCTGCAAAACAGCTTTATAAACGGGGAATTCTTTGTGGTGTGCCTGTATAATGAACTTACCTTGAGAGGTGTTCAGACCCAAGGCTAGCTAATCCTTAACAAAGGGGATGATTTAGGCTGGGTTATGTTTGAATGACTCGAGCCAAATTGTCGGTGATATAAGGCAACTGCCACGGATTAATTAGAGAGGGAGAAGGAAGATTTTTCCAGTGCTATATGGTTATACTAAAACATTCTCAGTGTTATACGATTGCTGAGCTACCTTATGTTTACTCAGTGTTCTTACAAAACTGAATTATGAGCCAGCAAAATATTCCTGACTCTATAACCAGTTATCGGTAGAGGGTGCTGTGTAGCTTTTGCATTTGATCTGTGTAGGTTGCGTGTTTATCAAAGGTATTTTTAGTTAATAATTTATTATTCAAAATTTAGTTCAATTATACCTTTGCTTACATTAGCAGTGCAGTTTAGTGGATCTTGATAACATTAATTTGATTCTGCGAAGGAACAGATTTTCTATTTAGCAAGATTCCATGTTATGCTGTGATCAGCTCTGTTATGATTTTATGATTAGAGAGTGTTTGCTCCTATTTATATATGGTAATAAATTTATGGAATCTAGTTTATAGGCTTACAAAAACACAAACACCACCATCGCATTTCTTCCTGGTATTTGCTGTCAGTGTGATAACGATGTCGTCAGATGAGACGTACAGCTTTTAAATAGCTGTGCAAGCAATTTGGCATCGAGGGGGTAGCAAGTGAATGTCAGAAGGAGGTTGTGTGGAAAATAGGGATAAGGAGATAAAAACCAGTAAACAGGAGCTGAGGGGAACGGAAGGTGAAGAAAGAGTGAGAAGATAGAGGTGAGGCTGGTGAATAAAAGACATAGGAGGCAGATGAAGGCCAGATGACGGCTTCTGACTTTGGAATTGTTACTTTGGTAGCTCTGCCTTCCCAGCTTCTCTGCCCTAATTGCCTTTTCAGGCCTATGGAGTTTCTGACTTTTTCCCACAGTCAGTGTCCCAGCTTCTGCCAGTCGCTGATAGGTGGAGCTATGAATTTTTTCTGTAAACAGAAAACAGACTATGGGCTCTCTTGGCTTTTTTGTTATCTTCAAGTCTGGTGGGAGATGATTTTGATCTCTTAAGTTTATTCTTGGAAGAAGTCTTAGGAGTAAAAAAACTTTGATTTCTGAGAACTGATAGAGCAGAGCACCAGGGGAATATCTTGGCCTATCTATCTGTCCTTCTGCCATTTCCATTCTTGGTAAACGTGGGATAAAAGGCATGGTCCAATCTAGAAATACTCCTGACTCCACTTGACTTTTGTAGAAAGACAGCTAAAGATGCAGAAAGTTATTGGAGATTAACGCTTCATTTAGGAAGGCATGAGCAGGCACTGTTCTGTTCTCCTGCTGTTTTGTTGGGTTGCCTTTTGGGCAGGAATTCCCAGGGTAGTGTTCCCGCATAACCTGGGCTATGCTTGCTTTTTTTCCTGCTGCGAACAGGGCATCCCAGGGTTGCACTCACAATGACAGTGAACAGGACAGCTCATCCTGAGGGGGGGAATCCATTGCTTTCCTTCAAGCTGGAGAAGGTCGCCCTTGAGTAGGGCACTTCAAGATATGCAAAAGGCATGGCTGTCCTCTGTAGTCCATATCCCTGGGAATCTTCCTCCCAGGAGGCATGCCCCTAGGCTTCCTCCCCTTTCTTCCTGCCTAAATCTTTCGGTTGAGATCCAGGACCTTGGATCAGTTCCCAACCCTTCTGTACTCTTTTGCTATTGACTGCTGACAAGGTGCTAAACAAGACCCATGAAGGAGATACGTTCTTAAGGAGGGTTGCCTCGTGGCTGGGACATCACGTGGGTTGTGTTGGACCAATTCCTCATTTCCCAGGACTGTCCGAAGGGAACATGGCAGCTGTCCTGACTGTGGACCAGATCATGCTTCTGCCTGTAGCAGGAGGAATGGGGAGCGCAGGGGAAGCCATTAGGGTCAGGGATGTGGGGTGCTCTCACTTCTGCTCAGCTGATAGCTCTGCTGGAGTGGCAGGTGGTGAATATCAGGTCTGGGATCCAAGCCTGAGAGCAATCAAGGCTTTGAAAAAACTAAACTACCTGGCTCAGAGGCCAGAGGCAGGATGATTCCTCTGGTGATATCGCGAGGCTGCTGGTGTTCCTGTTGGTCCAGGCAGAGCTCGCAAGTCCTGGAGGGGAGAAGGAGGGAGTGTGCACATTTCAAGCTGTTGGTGTGACTCTTCGGCCCTGCTTCTGAGTAATCCAGACACTGAACCTTATCCCAGCACAACGCTAGCCACCGCAGCTTCAGTTAATAGCCAGTTACGTCCAGGACAGCCACAATTTTAAAGCCCCTTTTGTTGAGCTTAACAAGCATTACATGACAGGCTTTGGGAATTGGCGCTCAAAGGCAAGGAAGGTTGAGTTAACTAAAATTAATAAGGTGGCTTGGGGGCAAGCATAGGATGTGCAAGATGAGAGTTTTATTCTTTGCCCTGCCACAGGCCTCCTGGCTGACTGTAGCAGATTGCTCTAGTTTTTTCCTGGTTGTCTTTCCTTTATGGAAAATAGGAACAATAGGTATTGACTACCTTGCATGAGCACCGAGGTGCTTTCACCTCATGCAAATACGAAAGTAGTAAGAGCCCAAGGCAGGCATCCAGAGGCAGGGGGGTAACAAGCTCAGAGCAAGGCACCTGATGTAGAAACCCCATTTGGAAGAGAATAAACAAGAAATATTCAAAACAGATCTTTTCCCCAAGTAACAATTATTTCATTTCAATACAGTTCTTGCTGAGACCCAGTCAGTCATGTCATGGTAGCACAGCATTTCCGCAGGTATTGCTGCTGTAAGTGCAGAAGATTTCCTCAAGTAAACTATTTAAGTGCTGTATCTACAACATAAAGCAGTAAACACGGGGTGGGGATGGAAAATAGCATCTTGCTTAGGGCCCTCCCAGGGTGATTTTACGCTTGGTACAGGGGATATCTGAGCTAGCCTTGTGTGAATTCGCTCCTGTATTGTTGTCATTGTGCTAGGGCAGAAGGAAGTTCTTGTAGCCTGAATTCTCAGTAGAGTGAATTAGGACTTGCCGAATTGAGGGCAGGTGAGGCCAGAGTAGCTTGGTACCTAAGTGAGCTTGTTTGAAAGCTAATCCAGGATCTCTGCAGTAGCTAGCCTGCGGTTTTGCCCTGTATATATGCAGCTCTTGACCTGAATTATTGTCAGTGGACAGAAAAAGGCACTTCTGAAGTGTGAGTCATTGTGGGTGCTCATCTTGGAATGAGAAAAATTATGATACAGAAGTATATGTTTCTCTGCGGTGGATGTAGTAGACCATGTGTATCTTAATTTGGGTATTAACTGCTTTGTGGGCCTGGGCTAGATTTCAGGTATGGAAGTGGAAGGCTCCATGCCCTGTGAGCCAACCAGTAATGTAATTGCAGACTTCCTCCTGCGATGTTTCAGAAATATTAGGAGAATACTGCGTCTTAAAACAGTTCTTTCTCCCCTTTGTGCACAGTGAAATACAGTTCAGCTCCTCCAGTACTACCACTTCAGAGAGCCAAGAACCGTCTTCCGGGGATCAAGCAGCGAGTGCGCTTCAGCAGCAGCTCCTACTGATGGTGGCACGAAGGACCCTTTCGGAAAGCCCACGGGTACATTGTAATATCTCAGTTTCTAGCATTTTGATAAACTGCTTTATAAACAAATGCTGCAGGCTTGTTCCTGAGACGGTTTTGTTGATTTTCTATTCTACTTTGCCTGGTATTGCTCATGTGGGAGAAGATGTATTTTATGTTGATGGATGCAATTCAGCTGCTTTCTCCCGACACTGAGTAGTGTCCTAGGGGAGTCCTTAAAGACTCCATCACCTAAAAAGTTGATTTTCTGTCTTTTGGTCTTATTTCATTTGAAACAAAGAGAACACAGCTGTTAGGATTTTAGACACACCACCAGATTTTAATAGTATGAAGTGTTTACTCCAGATTCATTACTATCCTAAAACCTCATATCTAGTTTCACTTTTCTAAATCGGGTAACCAGACTTCTGGATGTCTGTTATGGAATGTCAAAGTCATCTCCTCAATGCAGCTGGTAAAAGAAAAAGGCCCTCAGAGGTCAGTTTGTATGGTAATACGTGGACATACTTGAACTTTACAGTGTTTGGGGTCTGTAACCAATGGCTTCAGGCTCTAATCTGTTTTTACAATTCCTTTTGTAATAACTTTAACCTTCTCTTTTCTTCCATGGCAAATTCTAGTTTGGTATTTATGAATAACCTTAAAATGCCAGTTAATTATCTTTTATCATAGATTTTGCACAGGAACTGCAAGCTAGTAGCAACTTGTATAAAGGCATAATTTTAAATTAAAAATCAGGAAGTTGTCCTGAAATTGTGTATTTCAGATTTGGACAGAGACTTCCATCTAAAGGCTCAGATGTTTTCCAGATATTTATAATCTTGTAAACTGCCTGTAAATTAGAGAACAATTATCATGCCTTTTATTTTTTTTTTTCCCTCTTCTGGGAAAATTGCACCATTAAGTAATAAGATGTATTACTCAAGATCACATAGCAAGTTTGTAACAAGGCCAGGCAGTAATTTCAGAACTTCCTGGTTTCTGAATTTTTTTTTATTAAACATGAAGTTCTGAGCCCGCGTAAGTCAGGAAAAGTTTTGTCATTGATTTCTATGAAACTAGGACTTCAGGCTGTCTCTGACACCATATAAATTTATGAAATGACTTTTTATAAGCCCTTTTTTGATAGGAGGCACCACTAGACTTAGTGACTTGCTCAGGGCTAGTCAAAGAGTTTCCCAAACGCACCTCCAAAATCTGACTCCAGCCCAAGTACTGCAAGCCTCATGTAATGGACTTCATCCAAATGTTACAGTTCCTCAGGAGCCAAAATGTTTGCTTACGCACGCAGTTAAATACGTGTTAAGGTGTTCCGAGGGCCAAACAATCAGATCCTTAGGTGTTTTTAATGGACTCTTTGCCACCATTTATTTTTTTTTTTATTTAGTTACAGTGAGCAATCTAGATTAGATGAGTGAAGTCAATGATTGCAGTTGATTGAGGTTTCACATTACTTTCTGTTGGGAAATAGGACTCAAGAGAAACAAAACTATGCCAGTATTAGCAACTGTAATATTTTAAGATATATTTTTTTCTTTTTAAAATGCCCCAACTCCATAATTAAGAGACTTTTTAAAGTGGTAATAGAAATGTTAAAATTTTGAGCACCTAAACTACTTTCAGATTTTAAAATCAATGCGGAGAAAGGACTGCAATCAGTCTCACAGCTTTTAAATTACGTGGAATTGTTAATAGCTGAAAGAATGCCAAACAGCCCGGCATCCCCTTGCATGTCGGAACGCTCAGAAACATGAGTGAGTCACTGTCCTGCGCTGATAGCGGCCGAGCTCCCTGGCACTGCGTGGCTGTAGGCTTTTAGTCAACTGGAGGCATGAGATAAAATGCATAAACTTGAATTTCTTTCTCTGAAGCTTAAGCTAGCCTGTTTTACCTCACGTTTACCAGCAGACTGAGGATATCAATGAGTTGGCTCCCAGCTGACATGCAGCAATACGTTAAGTGACATGTAAATGATGTGTAAAATTCTTTTTCCTGGGAAGTGAAGATTAGAAATTACTAATTAGAAATTACTTCAATAATCTGAGAGTATATTTAACAATTCCTTTGTGCAGGTGGATGGGTTGTTTGGAAAACTGTGTTTTGCTAACAGTTAAAATTCAAGGAGATGATCAATTACTTCACACACAAGTCACACAGAAATCCCCTTCTCTGACTAGGAAAGTTAACATAACACAAATAATTCTAATGTAAATGTTGTCTAGAGTTCCATAATAGGTATATTTTTTTATCTAATGTTGATTAATTATCTTTAAGAAGGCGGAGGGTGGCTAGAAGGAGGTTGAAAACTGCTAGGCTTTACAGTGATTAGAAATCTCAAATTCCTCTTGAAAAAAAAAGAAGTTATCTTCTCCCCCCCTCCCCCCCAAAAAAAAAATTAAATATTGGTGTACCTTGGAAAGAAACCACTACTTTGCAGAGGTTTTTTTGTTCCGTTGTCTAGCTTTGCAGGCTTGGCTGATGGTCTGTAGATAAGCCTCCCTTCCCACAAATATTGGTGAAGGAGTTACAGGTGTAGAGTTGGAGGAGATCTGAAATGCTGTAGTTTTAACAGACAAGAAGAAAAGGCCTTAGAATCTGACAAAAGCAATATTCAAAAGGATGGATTTGTGATTGTGATGGTAAGATTAGAGACTCTTAAATTAGTGATGTTTTCGCTGTTTGTGATTGTTTGTAAATTTTTTTATTTTTTTTTTCCCTCCTCTGGCTGTTGTTGAGGATGCACACCTGATGTGGTATTAGAAGCATCTCAGGAAAGATAAATAAAGCTATGTTCTGGAAGGAGAGTTGATAAGTCATGCCTCTAGGCCTTAAAGCCTACTTGTTTGTGTTTTTTTTTTTTATTAAAACCAAGGTTTTGTCCTATCATGTGTGGTTTTGTGTTGTCCTGTAATTAGCCTGATGCATGGGAAAATCTTCAAAAAGAAACTCTAGAGAAGCAGTGGATCAGGACTAAAAAATAACCATTTTTAAATGAATATTTAGTGTTTATGTCTAAAGCATGTTATCACTATTGAGCTTCTATCCATCTGCAATAATTAAGCTGGTGTGATATCTTTGTTTCTAATTTAAAATGAAGAAAATAAATATGCTCCCACTATCCCTTTTAGAAAAAAAAAAAAGTATCTGAAACTTCCTGTAAATTTGGCCTTTTAAACACCTGTTTTTCTAGCAGCCATATTTCAGTGTGAAAGTTTTGTGTATTTCTGGTTTGTTTGTTTTTAAAGCAACCCAGCCAGGACCCTGAAGATTCTTCATGTTCTTCAGCACAACGGAAACTGAACAGACAGTTTTACAGATTTATTATATTCCCTGGCAAATGGATTAAAGTTTGGTACGATCGTCTTACTTTGTTGGCCTTGTTGGACAGGTAAGCTATTTTTTTTAATGCAACTCTATGTAGTGTTACAGTGGGTGGCTCCACAGGTGCATAGGGCAATGCAGGTCACTAGAGAAGGAAAAAAAAAAGAGTGAGCACTGTAGTAGTGTCTTACATTCAGGTTGAGTAGATAGATGTTTGTTTGCTTTAAGTTGAAGAAAATGTTTTTCTTCAGAGTTGGTTTTGGTGGTTGTTGCTACCCTTCATCTTCAAGCAGACTTTGATTCATGTGAGCACCAAGCCTGTAGAATAGTCTTTAATTTGACTCTCAGCTGTTGGTTCCGATGGTTCTGAGCTTGCTGATGAGAGAATCGGGTTTTGTGCGAAAATACAGAAGTGGAAGGGTCCCAGACTATGTAAACCAAGTACTTCAATCTTTAAAACCAAAAAAAATAGTCATTTTCAGAAGGAGATCTTTCAGCTGCTCCCTCTGTTCCAGTTCAAGTTTATTTGTTTAGAGAAAATTTCTCATCTTGGCATCTCTCCTTTTTCGAGTCCCTCAATTTCATTTGGCATCGACTTTTCAGGCAGTACCCTTTGCTATTAGACCTCCTGTGGCAATCTGCCAGACTCCTAGGACCTTCAGACGTTAGCCTACACACCTAATGGCTCCTGGCTCTCCTGTCTCTGCTTTTGGGTGGGTGCTGTGCCATGTCTGTTAATATGGGCTCCAGAGCAGAAATTTCAGACGGCAGTTTTAGATGCTGCAGAAATCAGGGTATATAGTCAGGGAGCTTAGGTCCAGAGCAGATACATATCTGTGGTGTCTTATCTCAGTGTTTCGATTGCAGAGAAAGCATCTGCTGATAAACTCTTTTGTTATAGTCTGAATATTAACATTGTTCTTTATCTCATCTTCCATGTTCTAATAGAACTGACAAAACGAATAAAACATCAGATGACAAATTTGGTCTTTCATCTAATTCTTTGTTGTCAGACATATATTTTTCATTAAAAGAATGCCTTATTTCCTCATTTAAAAGTGTTTAGGTGTTGGTGGTGGGGTTTTTGGTGTTTTGTGGGTTTTTTAGGTTTTTTCTGTTTGTTTTTTTTTGTGTGTGGTGTTTTTGGGGGCTTGGTTTTGGGGTTTTTTTGGTGGTTTTTTGTTTGGATTTTTTTGTGTTTTTTGTTTTGTTGGTTTGGGGGTTTTTTTTTGGTTTTGGGTGTGTGGGAGTTTTTCTTTTGTAAACATACGCTTGCCTACATTCAAGTCAGCTCCACTGTGGAATTCTATTTGGGAAGTGAGATTGGAGGGTGCTGGACTTCAGCGCATATGTCTCTTTTTTTTCCCCCATACATTTTAGCTATCATGGATAAGGTGGATAAGGTCTTTGACAAGAGGGTGAAATACCGTTGAACATAGAAGTGTAGTTTTGGGAGCAAAACTTCAGATCCTGTAAATTCTGATAGCTCCAGCCCTGATAGTTTGTATCAGCTGCAAATGGACCTGCCTTGCTCTAATGAATATATAAATATTTGTACTTCTCTTAACACTTTTATTCACATAGGACAGAAGATATAAAGGAGAATGTACTTGCTGTCCTTCTAGTAGTTCTTGTTTCACTTCTTGGATTCCTGACTCTGAATCAAGGCTTCTGTAAAGACATTTGGGTTCTGTTGTTCTGTCTTGTCATGGCCAGCTGCCAGTATTCCCTCCTAAAGGTAGGACACAAGTTCATATCCTATTGCTGAATTTTCTTCTAACTTCTATGAAGGCAAAATCCTGTAAGCCAACTTTTTTTTTTCTGTTTTGTTTTTAGAGTGTTCAGCCTGATCCTGCTTCACCAATACATGTAAGTCTCTGCCAGCAGAACAAGTCTTTCTCCTTTATTATCACTTGTGTACTGTGAAACAGTTGGCTGTTCAGTGAAACACAGGTATAGGTAGTTTGCTCTTCTAGGTGATTTATGAAAATGAGCAAGATGTTATCTGTGATTTTGAGACTTTGTACTACTTTTAATTAATTTTAAGCTATTTGAATTTATCATTGCTATTATAAAAGTGCTTTTTCTTTAAGCTAAAATATGCAGTAAAAAGAAATGTGTCTGGACTAGTTTGCTGAATTTCAATCCTATGGCATCAGACAAGCATTTTCTTTGCTTTCGTTTAGAAACAGTGACTAAAACCAGCAGAAGTTCCAGATTTGCAACTCAGTCATTGGTCAATTGGGTCTTTAAATATTTTTTTTTTAGTTGGGGATTGATTTTTATTTTTTTTTTAATTTTAAAATCTGGTATTGCAGATGTATTTCTCAATAGTATTAGCTCATCAAATGGCACAGGTGTTTTCCCTTTGTTATTATATGGTTACAGTTTTCTGTGCTTGTATCCTGAAGAAATGTCTAAGTCTCTGGGTGAATGCAGGTTGTAAAGACCTTTCCTGGTTGCTGTTTGTCTGTTGAGTATATTTGAGAAACTGAACTCTGACGGTGACAACCACCTTGCAAAGAACCAGTTCCTTACCCAGTCCTTGTTACAGGACTGGTTTAGGAGCATCATCCTACAAGTGCAACCTGACCCCTCCACCTATCACAGTGTCTCAGCATTTTTGATTTTCGGATATTGGAAGACATTGCAGGGGTCATGAAGTCCCTTGCTTGCTCCTACACTGGCTACTTAGTTGCTCATGTTTCTTATGTAGCTCTTCGAATGTTTTTGAAGACCCCCCTCTTCCCTCAGGATTCAAAACCAGCATGTTGAAAACTGCAGGTCTGCTGGATCATTTCCCTTTGGCAAGGAGCAATTATTTTTGTCAGTTTAGAGGCCAGAAATACAGGCTGAACTTGAAATTGAGGTTATTTACAAGTGTATGCTACACATTTCACCAAGATGGATTTCAGAAGATTCTTAGTTTCTTTTTCATGCCAGTTATTATGGGGTGAACTTAGGATATTGTTGGTTATAATGCATTCATGGGAAATATCAGTCTGCATAAAAAGTAGGGAAGGCTAATAAACAGCAACTAACACATTGTAGGGTAATATTTTCGATGCATTAAAGAAATACTTCTACCTCAGTGAAAAGCTGTGATTTTTTGGGGACTAAAATAATATTATTTGTCAGTTCAACGAGTAAGTGTCTAGACATAATAACGTGAACTTTGATCAAATAGTTTTCACTTATTCAGACATTAGTCATGTGTACATTTGTTTAAAGTGGATGGCAACCAGTTTAATCAAAACTTCATTATAAACCTATCTAGCCCATTTCTTTATAGTATTAAAGGCAAAGTAGCTAATGAAGTTCAAACAACATTTTTTGTGCAGAATCCAGGTTTGCATTTCAGGCTCCCACAATACTGTTACAAGTATTATTCACCATATTGTATTCTGGAAGTCATGCAGCAGTGTGGCAAAGTAACAATAGGTGTATTCCCATCTTCCATATGCTTTCCTAAAATTTTATCGGAGTTGTTTTTTTGCAAACTTTCTGGTGCACCATACAAACTTATAGACAGTTTTTCCACAGAGGGTTTTAGAGGTGGGAGGCATTGTAGATCAAATGAAAATAGAAGATTAGCTATTTCTACATTATATATTCTTAACACAATAGATATTTGTAAAGGCTTGCTTGAGCTAGTAAGCACCACAAAAATAAGACAACAACAAGGCGAGAAAGGATACTCCATGTACTGTTTCATAATTCATGTGACTACATTAAAATTAAAGAGAGTAACATCTCTTGATGTTAATGTAAGGATGCAGAACAGCAGAAGGATTAAAGAAAGATCAGTACCATGTCCATGAATGAAAATGCAGATGAGATTTTTTCAGTGTGAAACAAACCATTGCGAGCCTCAGATTTGCACAGTGAATTAATTTCTATTCTTGGATCCATGAGTAGCTGCTAATGCCTTATGTTATCCCTGCCTGCCAAGGAGGTTCTAAACTTCTTCCCTATCTCTCACATGCAGACTTGTTACTGTTTGATGTGACTTTGTCATCTCCAGCCTATACGGTTTTGAAATGCTCCGCTTTAAAATACTATCCAGTGAATTCAGAAAACACAGTGCCTAGGGATGCATAAGCTTTTGTTCTGAACTCCTTCCGAGCGCCAGTGTGTTCAGTTCCTGGGGCTGAGGAAGAGCTGGCTGATGGAACCCTATAAAGTCAGGTAGTCTGGTACAATTCTGTTGGAAAGAAGATTATTTCTTGCCCTGCATACCATGCTGTGACAGCTGGGGTCTCAGACTTGAACACTGTGTATTGTCTGTATATTGTCACTGTGGTAAGGGATGAGTGTCAGTATATAGAGAAGAACCTATCCAACTCAGCTAATGTTTTGAATTTTGTATTCATTTATACTCAATGAATTGTGATAATAGTTCTGTTTTGATTGGCTTTGGTGTTTAAGTTAAAACTTCCCAGGTTCCACAGCTAATGCTGGCTACTGGCATTTATTGTAGCTGCAGATTTAGTACTGTTGCTTGCTACAAGATAAGAGCCTAACTTGCCTGTCAGCCTGTGCTTTAGCCTTTCCAGTTCTGGTCCGTTGGGAGCTGGTGGTCTTTAGCTGCTGCTCACACAGGGGTGATGTGATTCTGGGACGGTGAAATTTGGGAAGAGCCTCCTCACTGGAGTGGTGGGGAGAAGAAAATAAAGTCTATCCCAAGTGTGAGTTCTATCAGTTTATTAACAGCAGAATGTAAGGGAGGTGCCAGTGACTGCAGGGTATTAAACTCAGAGATCCAAGAGATCCTTGTTGTGTGCATTTCAAGGTTTTAGACAAGCGGCTTTGACTGCAGAGTTTCTTGATATTGGTTAGAGTAGTAGTAAATGGCTATATAGCAGGATCATGAGAGCTTGTCTCTAAGTCCATCATAAGACACCTGTATAGCTCAGTCTCTAGCTCAAGTTTACAAAGGCGTTTGAGCTTTAAAAGATTGCAGTCATGCTCTTAATAAGGTTTACAGAATCACTTGCATAACTTCATTGTCTTGGCCCCATTACCAGGTAGCTGAGTTGGGTCGCTACCATAGGCAGTTTCATAAATCCCATAAGGCACTTAAAAAGTATTTTTAATTTGTCCCTGTAAGCTTTTCTGTAGAACTGAGCACACACGCTTTTCTTTTTATATGAAGCCTTCTGTCTTTTTCCTCTTGCATGTGTGCACCCACAAACAACAAAATCATTAGATCTTTCTGAAATTTCCCCACCAAAAAGCTTTGCAATCAAAAGTGCTGTTTCACTAAATGGAAGTGTTTGTGAAATTATTCTAGTTTTGTTGAAAAATCTTAATATTTTAATCAAAATATGAGATGTACCAGTGCTGTGTCTGTAGGATGTGAATATGTTTCTGAAAAAAACATGGACCTGAAAAAGTCAGTGACTTTTTTTGGCAGACTTAGGGAAAGCAAGAGTTTTCACTGAACTTTTTATCAGCATAGAAAATGAGATGTAAAATATAAAAGGAATCCTGCTTCATTATTTAAATTCTTCTGAAAGAGAATGCAGAATGGAGTAGTCTCACCAAGATGAAATCAGTTTTGTGTGTCAAAATGATGAGTTTGTCTAGTAGAACAAAATTAGCCCTTAATATCTAAAATACCTTGTTGAGAAGTTGCAGCGCCACATGCCCGTTTTGGTTGAAGGGCTGCCAGCTTGGCCTGTCAGTGGCAGGCACAAAAGGGCTTCGCTTCCTTTTTTTGTTGTTGTTGTTGTTGTTTCTAAACCCTTGAAAAGAGGAAATGCAATGTCCGTCCTGCAGCTGTGGCTTTCAGGAGGTGATGAACTGTTCTAGTGATCCTCTCTCTCCTAGGTGTCTGCCGTTGACCTCAAACCAGTCCTGTCCTGAATAATCCTCCTCACACAAAGGATGTAAATGACAGTGAAATACAACACTGACACTCAGAGCAGTTCCTCTTTCTTGTGTTGCCCGTTCCCCAGATGTGGGGACTGGAGTATTTGTTGTGTTCTGGGAAACTCATTCAACTTGAGCGCATCCCAAGCAGTGTGACAGCTGTGCAGCCAGTGTCCTTCCCAGTGCATTGCTGCGGCATTGCTTTGCTCTGTTGATCCCATAGTAGGCAAGATTTCCTTTTCAGGATTCTGTCTCATTCCTCGCCACAACCTGACAAATAAGGAAGGTAATATTTGCTCACATTTTACAGGCTGTTCAGAGACAGCCTTTGAAAGCTGCTTCCTCAATCCTAACCAGCATTATTGTTGTTAGCATGGTAAGAGTGATTTATTTAGAATAGAATAGACTATTTCAGTTGGAAGGGACCTACAAGGATCATCTAGTCCAACTGCCTGACCAATTCAGGGCTGGTCAAGTCAAAGCATGTTGTTAAGGGCATTGTCCAAATGCCTCTTCAACACCAACAGGCTTGGGGCATCGACCACCTCTCTAGGAAACCGGTTCCAGGGTTTGAGCACCCTCTCGGTAAAGAAATGCTTCCTCATGTCCAGTCTAAACTTCCCCTGACACAGCTTTGAACCATGCCCACATGTCCTATCGCTGGGTACCAGGAAAAAGAG